GAGGTTTCTGGCCCGAAGGTGGACATTGAGGGTCCAGAGCTGGACATTGAATGTCCTGAGGGAAAGGTGAAGGGCCCCAAGTTTAAAATGCCAGACTTGAACATCAAGGCCCCCAAGATCTCCATGCCTGATGTTGACTTCAACCTGAAGGGGCCCAAGCTGAAGGGCGATGTCGATGTGTCTGTTCCGAAGCTGGAAGGTGACCTGAAGGGATCTGAGGTCAACATTAAGGGGCCAAAAGTAGATGTTGACCTTCCAGATGTTGATTTGGAAGGCCCAGAAGGGAAGCTGAAGGGCCCCAAGTTCAAGATGCCAGACTTCAACATCAAGGCCCCCAAGATCTCCATGCCTGATGTTGACTTCAACCTGAAGGGCCCCAAGCTGAAGGGGGACGTGGACATGTCCGTCCCCAAGCTGGAAGGTGACCTGAAGGGCCCTGACATTGACATCAAAGGCCCCAAGGTTGATGTTGACCTTCCTGATGTTGAGCTGGAAGGTCCAGAGGGGAAGCTGAAGGGCCCCAAGTTCAAGATGCCGGACTTCAACATCAAGGCCCCCAAGATCTCCATGCCCGACGTTGACTTCAACCTGAAGGGCCCCAAAGTGAAAGGTGACGTCGATGTTTCCCTTCCCAAGCTGGAAGGTGACCTGAAGGGACCTGAGGTGGACATCAAGGGCCCCAAAGTTGACATTGAGGCACCTGACTTGGACATTCATGGCCCAGAAGGTAAAATAAAACTGCCCAAGTTCAAAATGCCCAAGTTTGGGGTGAAAGGAGAAGGTCCAGAGGTTGACGTCAATCTCCCCGAAGCCTCTGTTGGTGTTTCGGGTCCGGAGGTTGATGTCACTGTTCCTGACCTGGATATTGAAGGACCAGAAGGGAAGCTTAAGGGCCCCAAATTTAAGAAACCCGACTTGCAGTTCAACGTTCCCAAAATCTCCATGCCAGACATCGACTTAAATCTGAAAGGCCCCAAACTGAAAGGTGATGTCGATCCTTCTCTGCCCAAAATCGAGGGCGAGCTGAAAGGTCCTAAACTTGACATCAAAGGGCCGGAACTTGAAATCGAGGGACCAAAGGTTGATCTCGAAGCCAAGACGAAAAAACCTAGGTTTAAACTTCCCAAATTTGGCTTTTCTGGTCCTAAAGTGCAAAGTCCCGACGTGGATGTGAAACTGAAAAAACCCGATGTTGAAATATCTGGTCCAAAAGTTGATGTTCATGCTCCAGATGTGGATGTCCAGGCCAAATCAAAAGGGTCGAAATTTAAAATGCCGTTCCTGAGCATTTCCTCCCCGAAAGTCTCGATGCCGGACGTGGAGCTCAACCTGAAAGGGCACAAACTCAAAGGAGAGATGGATGTGTCCACCCCCAAGTTGGAAGGGGAGTTGAAAGGTCCCGAAGTGGATATCAAGGGCCCCAAAGTCAACGTCGAGGTGCCCGACGTGGACGTTCACGGGCCGGAGGGTAAACTCAAAATGCCCAAGTTCAAAATGCCGAAATTTGGGGTGAAGGCTGAGGGGCCAGAGGTGGACGTGAACGTGCCCAAAGGAGACCTGGAGGTTTCTGGCCCAAAGGTGGACGTTGAAGGGCCAGAGTTGGACATTGAAGGTCCAGAGGGGAAGCTGAAGGGCCCCAAGTTCAAGATGCCCGAGATGAACATCAAGGCCCCCAAGATCTCCATGCCTGACATCGACCTGAACCTGAAGGGCCCCAAGCTGAAGGGGGACGTGGACGTGTCTCTTCCCCAGGTGGATGTGAAAGGACCCAAAGTGGACGTCGAGGTTCCTGACCTTGACGTTGAAGGTCCCAAAGGGAAACTGAAAGGCCCCAAGTTCAAGATGCCCGAAATGAACATCAAGGCTCCCCACATTTCTATGCCGGACTTTGACTTGAATCTGAAAGGTCCCAAGGCTAAAGGCGGGGTGGACGTTGAGCTTACTGGGCCAAAACTGGAAGGGGACTTGAGTGTGCCGGATGTGAACATTAAAGGCCCAAAGGTGGACATCGATGCGCCTGAGCTAGATGTTGAGGGGCCAGAGGAAAAATGGAAAGGTCCCAAGTTCAAGATGCCTGAGATGCACATCAAGGCTCCCAAGATCTCCATGCCCGACGTTGACTTCAACCTCAAGGGTCCCAAGCTGAAAGGAGACATCGATGTTTCTGCTCCCAAGCTGGAAGGGGATTTGAAGGCTCCTGACATTGATATCGCAGGCCCCAAGGTGGACATTGATGTGCCCGACGTGGACATTCATGGCCCAGAAGGAAAAATAAAACTGCCCAAGTTCAAAATGCCCAAGTTTGGGATGCCGGGGTTCAAAGCAGAAGGTCCGGAGGTGGACGTGAACCTGCCCAAAGGAGACCTGGATGTTTCTGGCCCGAAGGTGGACATTGAAGGTCCAGAGTTGGACATTGAAGGCCCTGAAGGGAAGGTGAAGGGCCCCAAGTTCAAGATGCCCGAGATGCATTTCAAAGCCCCCAAGATCTCCATGCCGGACTTCGATCTGAACCTGAAGGGCCCCAAAGTGAAGGGGGATGTGGATGTTTCTGTTCCCAAGCTGGAAGGTGACCTGAAGGGCCCTGAGGTTGACATTAAGGGGCCGAAAGTGGATGTTGACCTTCCTGATGTTGAGTTGGAAGGTCCAGAGGGGAAGCTGAAAGGCCCCAAGTTCAAGATGCCTGAGATGCACATCAAGACCCCCAAGATCTCCATGCCCGACATCGACCTGAACCTGAAGGGCCCCAAAGTGAAGGGAGACGTGGACGTGTCTGTTCCCAAGCTGGAAGGTGACCTGAAGGGACCTGAACTGGATATAAAAGGTCCCAAGGTTGACATAGATGTTCCCAATGTGGAGATCGAAGGACCAGAAGGAAAATTGAAAGGCCCCAAGTTCAAGATGCCCGAGATGCACTTCAAAGCGCCCAAGATCTCCATGCCGGACTTTGACCTGAACCTGAAGGGCCCGAAAGTGAAGGGGGACGTGGACGTGGCTGTGCCGTGTGTGGAAGGTGACCTGAAAGGGCCGAAGGTTGATGTGAAAGGTTCTGAGTTGGATGTTAGCGGCCCAGATGTTCAAATTGAAGGCCCAGAAGGCAAGTTGAAGGGCCCCAAGTTCAAGATGCCCGAGATGCATTTCAAAGCCCCCAAGATCTCCATGCCGGACTTCGATCTGAACCTGAAGGGCCCCAAAGTGAAGGGGGATGTGGATGTTTCTGTTCCCAAGCTGGAAGGTGACCTGAAGGGCCCTGAGGTTGACATTAAGGGGCCGAAAGTGGATGTTGACCTTCCTGATGTTGAGTTGGAAGGTCCAGAGGGGAAGCTGAA